ATTTCAGAAGGTTAGAGGTTTGCCATTCATGATACAGCAATTATGAGATATTGTGAACCTGAAGTCACATAAAATGCTAATTTATCATTTCAGAAGGTTAGGGTGTTGTCGACCATGATGAGCAATGGGATAAATGGAAAAGCATACAGTTGTCCTACATTTTGACCCTATAAAAACCTTGCATATTTATTATCATATAAAGAGTTAAAATAGGGCTTGAGTGGACAGAGCATTTCCAAAATGACTATTGGGCACAGAAATATCCCTATAGATTTCACTAACAATTGTAGAAAAGTTGTAGTGCCAAAGAATGGTTCTCATTGTTGGTGTGTAAAAACATATCCTATCATCCACATTGAAGGACAAAAATGTAGACTCACCCAATATTTTCAGCACCTGAAAGGTTTTGAAAAGCTACACCAGCAACTTTACTGCCCATGATTGCCGGCCCACCACTATTCCCTGGATTTATTGCCGCATCTATTTGTATTGCCATTAATTGGGTAGCACCATGTACGTATTGAGTAGGTTCAACTCTGGAGACAACACCTTTAGTAACAGATATATTGTCCCCCCCTGCATCAAAGAGAAAGTCATGACATATGGAACCAATTATGTAATGACACATAAATTTTGGTGAAAGTTTAACTTCCCATCCATCCCATAGATGAATTTTCAAGAGAATGTAACAAAATTATAATTACTTTGCATTTTTACCTGGATATACCTCTTAGATGCTTAGGCAACAAAGAAATTACACTTCATTGATGTCTAGTTTCTTCACTAGCTTAGATGACTAATTATCCCCCTAATAGTATATTTGATGCACTTGAGATTGTCTAAAACCTGTAAATAGATGATCCTCATACGAAATCTGGAGAATTGGATCTACTCAAAAAAAGTGAGGATTCAAACAACTTCTAGAACTTAAACTTAGACATAAAAGTATGGAAACTTACAAGTTCAGATTGAGGGAAAAGGAAATCAACGGGAAAAAAAGCTCATCAATTTAACTCTCTTTTTATTCTTCAATCTTTTGGCATGAAAACTAACAAAGAGTTATGATTTAGGACACAGGCATATTATAAAAATTCAAGTTGTGGATTAGGTAATTCTCTTCAAAATGGTGCATTTAAAATGAATACACAAAATTCTGTCCCCCAGCAACAGCTAGTGATCTATAGTATTGTTACCTTGAGGATAGCCAACAACAGCTACAGCTTGTTGCAGAAATGGAATGTCTCCCAACTCCAAGAAGTTCATTCCTTCCCAAAATTCTTCACTTTCAACCACCAAAATAGCTAAGTCACATTCATGACCCACAGCTTGAACTTCTGCTCTATATTTGGTTGGCGAGCCGTGCTTTCTCACTAGCACAAATGTATGGTCAGCCACCACATGAGCATTTGTAAGAATTTTCTTCCCGGGAATAACAAACCCTACATCATCACCAGAAGCATGCTAACGTAAACAAAATACCCAAATTCAAGGCAAACTCATGCAAAACCTTCAATTCAAGAAAATTACAGCTTAATAACGTTGATATAAGTTATAACATTGGCAATCCATTGAAGTTGCAAGCACTGAACAGCTAAAAAGAGTCCAGTTTTGGAGCTCATGGATTTCCTTTCATGCTTCCCAAGGAATGAACCAAACATAAAATTGAGGAAGAGAAAAAGAAAAGAACCAGAGCCCATGGATTCCCGCTGGGATTTATTCTGCCACGGCAGAAAGTAGTTAGGACTACTAGAGACAGTGAAGATCTTCACCACAGAGTCCAGTGCCAGTTCTATCGCCGAATACGCGGAGTCCATTCCCGTTGTCTGGCCATCTTCTTGCCTTTCCAGCACCAGGTTTCTTCTTCGCCTCCCCAATCTTTTCCTTCTAAGCACCTGTGCCGCCAAAGACGCGCCGTAACGTCGAACAGAATTGCTGCTCGAGGCTCCGATACTCCCATTCTCATTCTCAAATACCTGCTCTGAATTTACAGAAACTGAAGTAGATGAACAAGTGCTACCACTACCAACACTATAAGTATCAGCATCAGCTGTACTGGTGCAAAAATAACTGTTGTTGTAGTAAATGGCGCGGTAATGAGCGAAAGGAGACGAAAGAGGTCTGTGCTGCCGACAATCTTTGAGCGATTCATGTACTGCGCAACTGGCAGACGAGGAAGACGACCACGCCCCCCGAACTATACGGGCCGATGATCGTAGCATCTCTTTCCTTCCTCCCCGTTACCTTCACTCTCCTCTCCTGTCTTCTGGTATACGTCTTATCTAACAAACAGGGAGCAGCAAGTGACACAGGTAACAGAGAAGAAGAGGCTCTGAAGAAAAACTGGAAACTGGAAATGAAGAGGGAAATGCTTGAAAGCTAGGTTTCTGGTGTCTGGCAGGCAAGACCTGGATTTGTACGTTATTGGCCCATTAGGCCCATTATTAATTTTTAAATTTTTTTAAAATTAATTTTTAAAACTTTAAGTATAACACAACGATTTTATTTTTTAATTAAAAAATTTGAAAAAAATATCGCTTAAAATAAATAAACAACACTAACAATAAAATTATAATTAAAAAATTAAAAAATTATAAAAAATATTAAATTTTTAAAAATTAATTCAATAATTTATTTTTTTCAGTAAAGACTATTAATATTTATCAATTTAGAGCCAAATAAGATCAGATTGAATCATGTGTTTTTATTGAAGGGGCTGAATTTATTACTATGGAGATTGAATTATTTTTTAATAAAATATGAATTAAAATAATATTATTTTGTAATTTAGAGAATATTTTTTAAATATTTAAACAGTTTCATTAATTAAACAAAAATAATTGTGAATTATATGAAATAACTATGAAAGAAAAATGGAGGTCACAATTGTAAAAAGTCCAAACCACACAAGTGTGGAACTGTGGACGGAAAAGCCACGCTGCTGCGCTTCCGCCATGGCTTGTTCATCTCAGTCCCTATCGCGCGCTCTCCTTCCCGTTTTTTCGCGCCAAATGAGTTTATCCTTGTCCCTTCCTGTTCTAAATCGTTTCGACGCAACCGGCCGGTTCTTCTCCGGCGTCACTCAAACCAGACCGCTGTCTCATCTGGTTCACGCTCAGGCCAAGCGCGGCTCCGTGCTCAAAGACGTTGAAGTTGCTTCTGGTAAGCACAGTGACTTCCCGCTCAATAATATAATTCTACGTATCCGTTCACATCTTTAAATTCTTTAAGAATTTAGTTTGAGAGAGAGTTGAGGAGCTCTGTGTTTTAGTGGCAGTGCGACTGCCGAGTTAACTGTTAATTTTATATTTCTTTTTTGCTTAATCTTTGTTTTTTTAGCTGCTGATCTTCATTTTGAGGCACCTCTGAAGATTGTGGAGTATCCAGACCCCATATTGAGAGCGAGAAACAAGCGAATTGGAACATTTGATGATAACTTAAAGAAGCTGGTCGATGAGATGTTCGACGTTATGTATAAGTAAGTTTTCTCATCTATATGTTACATGTATTCCGTGTAAGTAAGTTTTCTCATCTATATGTTACATGTATTACGTGCAAGAGAATCTTATTAGTTTGAATACAAAAACACGAAGATTAATGGCTGTTCTTTCTGAATAAATCTATTATCTATATTCTAATATGCATGTTTGGTAGACGTGGATCTTGCAGTTCCAGATAGAGCTGCAAGCAGGATTCAAACTCCATAACTCGTTACAGTATTATGTGAAATTGATTTTGATGTGTCATAACAGCAGTTTAAATATATAAAAAAATAATTTAATTTATTACTCAATCAAAATTATTGATACTAATTAATTTAATTTTGAGAATATCTCTCAATGGAATTTTCTTAGACCAGGAAACTTTTATCTGAAATTATTTAGCTTAATTAGGTTTTAATTTCCATTTAAATGCTTAGAAGGAATTCTTGCTATTTACAAGAGAATGAAAAACATATGCTGTTTTCCTTTTTAACAGAACCGATGGAATTGGGCTGTCGGCACCCCAAGTAGGGATAAATGTTCAACTTATGGTATTTAACACGGTTGGGGAGCGTGGTGAAGGAGAGGAAATTGTTCTTGTAAATCCAAGAGTCAACAAATATTCAAAGAAAATGGTGCTATTCAATGAAGGCTGCCTGTCCTTCCCAGGGATCTATGCTGATGTAGAGGTATACCTAAGTGTTAATGTTGGTGCCAACTTCCATCTGCAATGGCATACGGATGGGATTTCCTGCCTTATTTTTTTTTCTTGGTATTGTTGAAGGAATATTTTGGTGTTTTCCAGATTAGACTTAATTCATAGAACTGTGGATGTATCATCTGAGTTCTTTTTTTGTCTTTTAAATTTATTTGATCTTTTTATTCATTGTCTCCCCTAAATTTTTGTTCACTTACTCTCAGTGAAGGAGAATATACCGAAAATTGCTTTGGTACTATCTTCAGATAGTTAAGATAGAGACAGATAAGCACTAGCTTAACTTCAAATGCAGCATCTTTCATTTCAAGGAGTCTGAGTCTCTAGTTACTGTGTGCTTTTTTTTTTTCACTTTCAGATCTTGTGTTTGTCTCTTCTTTTTCCTTCACTTTCTCTCTCTGTTTGTCTCTCTCTTTTTGGCCAAAGCAATTGAGTTTTTCTCTTGTTTCCATTCTTGCAGAGACCAGAATCTATTAAGGTTGATGCACGGGACATTAATGGTGCAAGGTTTAGTTTCAGTTTGTCAGGTCTTCCTGCAAGAGTGTTCCAGCATGAATTTGACCATCTGCAGGTTCTTTCTTTGCTAATAAATTCAACAGTACTTTTTGATTATCGGCAAAGATATGCCTGCATGTTTATGGAATGGATTTGGTGATGGCAGCCTTGGGAACAATCTGCTGCGTCAATTAGCATATTTTTTACATAGAATTCTGAAATGGAAAGGATTTCATTCCTACTAGTTAGTGAAATAGAATCATTTAAGACTCACCTTGTGCAGATTGTTCAATTAGATTTAAGTCCAAGGTTGAATTAAATGCCTCAACTGTCTACCTCTGATCCCGAGTTAGTTTGATGTGTACATTTTTTTCATACTTCTGGGGTTTCAGTCTGAATTAACTAAAGAGATCAAAGAATCATCTACTACTGCTCGTAATTCTTGTTTATGTTTTGTTCATTTTTAGCTCCAAACTCTACATAATCCCAGTTACAGCATATTGAACCAAAAGTATACTAAAAATCTAATTCCATTTTTCCATAATGTACCCATCCATGTTAACATTGTTTACAGCCTAGATAGATAACTAATGTTGGCAGTTTTTAGTGCATGGACTAAACAAGTTCTTGGATCCTATTTGCCTTTTAGAAATGTTTCTTTTTGCTGTTTATTTTGAAATGTGTTGATATGAAAAGTTAATATCCATCTTTTATTTTTGGTCACTAAGCTGGCTCTTGAATTTGCAGGGCATTCTGTTCTTTGATAGAATGACTGACGAAGTCCTCGACAGCATTTGTGAGCAACTGAAAGTAAGTGGAAGCGTAACTTGTCTTAATGTATTCGAAATATAAGTTTATTAGTGGAAAGAATGTAATGAGAAGAAGGGGAAGAGAAAATTCTCTTTGGTTCGATTCTGGAATTGACTGTATGCATTATTGCATTCATAGAAAATGCCTTTTAGTTTAAGTATGAATCTCTTTTTTTATTTATTTAGAAAAAGAAAGAAACTTCGTTGACAGTGAATACTAATATATGGAAAAATGAATCTAAAGGATATAAAGTATGGTTGTTGAATTCTCTAAACAAATACAGGATAAATTAGTCAGTTCATATTTTGAGGGTAGAGAAAGGTTCTTTAACTGTATTCCACTACTAAAAAAACTCCAAACGCCATAAAGATTATCCTTACTCTTGTCCCCTTCTGTAGTTTCCGCTCTATTCCATCCTGAGACCTCCCTGTCATACTGTTATTCATGTCTTGGCAAAATCTTTTTCCTAGCAAGATAGTAGAAGTTTGTCTCATGATAATATGTAGAATTTTTTTCTTGTTTTTTCTTCCATGTGAAAAGATATCTGTAGACTGAGGTGTTATAATTTGATTAACTGATATTATTATGAGTTTTCAAGAGGCTGCTGTCCTTGGATTTGATGTGTTCTGTATATAATTTTAGCCCAAAATTGAAGCACAATCTGCTTGTCAGTTAATTTATGTGGAAAATAATTTATCATCTTTAAATTAACTACGCTAGGTAAAATCTTTATACCATGAAGAATTGTTTTTGGAGTGTTGACCCTTTCACAATTAAAGTGAATATGTCAATTTGCTTGGAATACGGATTTATTATACCACATTGTCTGGACGCTTATCTGATGCGCAGTCCTTAGAGAACAAATACAAGGATAAGACAGGATCCTCAAGCCCTGAAAGGATAGAAACACGGAAAAGGAAGAAAGTTGCAGCTGGCTTTGGTAAATCATAACTGATGCAGACTGCTTCAAACCCCTTACAATGCCATATGAAATGTAAGTTCATATTATTATCTTTTCAGTTGAACTAATTTTACATGGAGTTCCATAAAGTAAGAAACTTTTTGTTCTTCTGATCTTGTACGTTTCTCTTTTCCCCTTCCAATTTTTTAGGGTGCTATCTACAATATGAGAATGCTGAAAAGCAGCAGGATGTTGAAAGTATTATGTGAGGAACTCGCTAGAGTAGACTACTTCCAATATAAGGATTTTTGGGTACATAAAAAGATTGATTTGCAGACTATTGACATGCAGACATATGTGATAGAACATCTCTTCCTTCCATCATAAAGATGTTTCACCTTCTTTGTTGGAAAAAATGGGGATCATTATAGTTCTAACCATAAATCTCAGAAGGCTCACAAGTGTACCCTAATTGTTATCCTTGTTGTTCTTCGAACTGTAAGAGGATTGATCAGCTCTGAGTTTAGGTTGGTGTAGTTTGATCACAAGCAATGGTTTTTTTTGCTGTATGATATTATTGGAGTAATTGTCATCATTTTTAACTTATGCTTAATGCTACATTTGAGCTATGTTCGTTGATATCAGTTTGTAGAGATTGCATATTCTTCTTGCTATTTTTTAAAGAATAAATGCTTGGATAAAAGATGATTAAGAGCGGAACAAAAATAACAACATTCAACTGATCCTTTATCTAAGTTAAGTTATTTCTTTCGGCCACCATTTCTTGTCATAAGAGAACCATTTTCCTGGTTTTTACATATGAATCAAGCTAAGAGGGTGTAAATATGTGCGTCCTCAAACATCAGATAGGCAATTGTTTTTCATGCATATGTCTTTTGTCTTCTCTTTACCATCTTTGACATGGATCAAACCCTTATCTTCACTGTTTAAGAAATTTTACGCTCTGCTTGAAGGCCTTTGGTGCATCCAAAAGTTCAGTTGGCACTTGACTTGGAAACAGGCATAGAACACAAGAATACTGGTTTTTCCTTTTATTTTTGGGAGGATGGAGCCTGCGGTCATTTCAAATTACTGGTAACGAGGGGTTTGATGTTTGCTGCCTTGGTCTTCCTTTGCAGGTCAAAATCATGTGCTGTCATTTAGTGATGTATTTGGTCAGTAATAAAGTCATAATCGGTTATTTTGTTGAGCTCAGGTCTACTGTTTGCTTACTTCTCTCCTGTGTTATCTTTGATTTTTTTCTTTTAATTTTTATTTTATTCTGCTTGCAAATAGCTATAATGTTATAGAGTAGATCTTGTGCACATTCAGTTAAAATATGCAATTGTATAGGAAAAGGCAAATATGTCGAGAACTTCTAGTAGCGAGTATATAGAAACTAGAAGATTTTCATACTCTATTCCAATAGAAACTGCTGTATACCTACGGAAACTAACAAGCCTTGGACAACCGTGATTTGCCAGATTGGCATCATCTTGGTCGCAATATGTTCTTATCAAATAGGGTGGAGAAACTGTCGGTTATCCTTGACTTGGTGTTGCTACATGATTTCTAAGTATAAGCTCAGCAGGAATCAGAAGTAGAATGTATTCCAGCTTTTGATGGCCGCCCTGTTTCCAAACAGCTAATTGGAGGGACGGTGGTAGTTTTCAGCTCTCCATATGCCTCCCAACAGAAAGGTCCTTGGTTTTCTTGAACTGGTTTTAGCTGTATGGTCGATAAAGATACTCCTGTGCATGGCAAGCTGTCACTGCATGCAAAGTGTACGGGTTTACGTGTATAGGTTCCACGTATGCTTATGTAGTTTATGTCTGATACAGCCACAGCTGAACTTTGGTTGTGGCAAGTACCCTTGTCACAATAGTATTGATCAATCACAATAGGAATTTCAACTTCATTTACTTGAACATTTGAGAACATGACTTGTCGCACAGAGCCTGATCCGCCCTGCAGTGGAAAAGAGTAATATTTTAGATGGTTTGTGTGATTCTTCTGTTTATCTAACCATGCATGCACTGGGTGCTTATGTGCCAACATTCCGGTATATATATTTTATCTTGTAGAGAATAAAATTAATTTGATTATGATGCTTTAATTTATACCTGCCATGTCTTTATCCTAACACCACTTAATGTATTGTGCATTGTGACATCTCGGACAGTGACATTTGATACACAGGCTTTTGTGTTATCCCTTCCAAGCCCTCCAATGCTAATTCCGTGTCCAGGTCCACACTCCACATTATGTATGTTAACATTTGAGCATCCAGTTTGTATGGATACACAATCATCTCCTGTAGAATGAAGTTGAACTTTGGTTACTAAAATGCAGAAACATGTATCATAATCCAGTAATCTGGGCTTCTTTTACCATATGTTGTGTGATTTTTTGGTTTGTTTTTCTTATTTTCTCTATTGGTTGAGTTTTAGATTTTCTATCTGATGCAGAAAAAAAAAGATATTATTTTGGAACACAGTCTCAATTAAAAATCTTTGTTGTAATTATTATTATTTTGTGTTTTTAAATTATTTATATATTATAATATTTTAGTTTTTTATTTAGGTATATTAAGTTTATATGAATTGGAATAGCTGTATTTTCTCTTTTATAATTTTTCATATTAGTTGTAATTAATGTCCCACACTAGTAGCTAGTAACAAAGAGATATGATGGTGAATTAAGAATTCTTTTATTAGGATTTTATTCTCGGTTATCTCTCTTTATCTTCATTTTATAATTATTATTCTATCTAATCTATCCCACTCAGTCTATTTTTCCTATATTTCTTCATGTTGATTGCTTATTTCTTTTCCTGTCTTTATTCTTCTGTTTTTCACCCAAAATTTCTCTTTCACTAAACTATGACGGATAAGTTGGTTTAATTACTATTCGTCTTGAATGACTTTCACTAAAAATGGCTATTTTTATGGCCCTATGAAAAACAATTTATTGTATTAAAATTCTTTTTGTTACCGCAAGCGAGAGTGCTACTGTGAATGTCCACATCTTGGGAGTTCTGCAGGTGGATTCCATCTGTATTTGGGCTGTTGCCAGGGGATGATGCAGTAAAACCAGAAACCTGAATTCCGGTGCAGTCATCAAATTTCAGGTGGGTCTGAGGGCTGTTTTGTATTGTTATACCAGTAACTGTCACTCTGGTACTTCCGTAGAACCTCAGTGCCTACATATCAGAATAATATTGAGTACAGTACAAAGAGATGGGCATTCTTGATTTCAACATTCCTTGATTGTGAAATAGTCAAATTGTGGAACAAGGTAAGTACCGTTGGTTTGTTGCCTGGCATCTTTGAACTGAGTTCGCCATTTAACTGCCAGGCATAATTTTGAATGAATAAAGGCAGTTAGTTTTTTCAGAATGAGATCAGGTAAAGCATATGCCTCTGTATAGCCTAAAAAAAGTGTTTGCTGTTAATTACCGGATCATAAGAGCTTTCAGTTGACTCTGGTTTGTGCTCAGGCCTATCAGTAGGCAAGTCATTCCACCAGACTGAACCTTGCCCATCTATGATTCCTTTACCTGTGACTGTAATTCCTTGGAGTTTTGCGAATTCTATCCATTGCAGGAGACTTGATCCCCAGGCTCCAGAGCTTGTAGGAGCTATGATCTTGCCATCTAACTGCAAGGATATCTAATCAAGTTAGTGCTTGTTCATTTGATTGATAATTTAATTTCTGATTGGGATTTTCCGTCTTTTCTAATGTAAGTTTACCTGAAAAACAATATTTCGTGCACAATTAGGGCCTGAGAAGGAAGCAGGTCCCACTAGGAAGACAGACCCCGATGGAACTACCATTGTTGATGCCTCGACCTTACAAGCTGCTGCCCAGCATGCTTCAAACGCCTGCAACAAAATTTAATGGTAACAAAAAAATATTAGTAATAAGGATAATAAATATGATGCTTCGATCTTTAATTGAATTTTATTGCTCTTGTTTTCAACTCGGTCGTCAAATTTGCTTTAAGAAATTGATGATTTTTGCCTAGTTGCTTAGACTTGGTGTTTTAGCCTTTTCAGCCACTGGTTTATTTTGATTCTTGTTGTCATGTATTTTTTATTTAAAATAATGACCAATTTGCATATCAATTTCTTGGTCTGTTTATTTGACTACTGCTCATTGTCACCACGAGGTCAGCTACGAAAAGATGAGATTCTCATCTTGTGACTCGAGCCCCCATGTCTCCGCCATCCTTTTTGGTCCCATCCATGTTTCATATTAGATTCTTACCTCCACCTCAACCAGAAGATATGCAGTAGCAAAATGAAGCAATTCATGACATTCGGTCATGATTTCTGGTGCATGTATTATGATACATGTCGATGAACATGCATTTACATACAAATACATGATACATATATCTATATACGCATACACATATACATGCATAGTTAAGCATACGTGAAACATGGGATCAAAATGAAGAGTGATCACCTTGGTGTCATCGGAATGCCCATCACCTTTAGCACCATAATCCAACACGTTGAAGGTGGAAGAATACTTGCCACCTTGTGTTGCTGGCGCGGATATTCCTCCTTTCTCTTTGTTCTTAAACACAGAGACTATTTCATCTCTGCCTGACAATTGCCGCCAGTGTCTGCCATTGCTGGTTCCGAAGCTTGAAAACAAAAGAAGCAAGGCAATAAGAATGTTCAGTATTTTAATATCTATGAAAATAGACCTAGCCATCTTCATTTTTGGCTCTAATTTGGTTTTTTTTCCTAAGAGTTTGAAGATGGATAGTAATAAGAGAGGTAATATGTATGCGTTGGTGGGGATGGAAGTGATTATAAGTGGGTTCGTATTTATAGGCAGATACCTGGATAAGAGACTAAGCTTATATGGGTTATACGTACACTATACACCCATGAGTCCCACAGTTAGATAAGGACAAAAGCTCGACTGTTAATTGCTCTCGTGTGCGGACAGTTTTCCCTTTTTTCCTCTCAATTGTTTTTGTGGGTTTACTTGTATTTTTAGTCATTAACTTATAGAGTATTATATCATCGCTTATAAAATCCCAGCTCCCAATCTTTTTAGGCAAAATGGAGTTTAATATTTTTGTAGCTTCATTTTTCTGAGTGTTAATACTTATAATTTCTTCCAAATGAAGCTGTATTAAATTTTTTTTTTTTAGAAAATATCTTTAACTCTCTACTCATAAAATTATATGTGTAGAGAGTCAAAGCTAAACAAAACAAAATTAGAAGAATCTAAAACCTCAAAAGAAAAGAGCTTCAAGAACTATGAGATGGAAATCCCATTTATTTTTAATTTTACGGAAGATAAAATATGATAAAAATTTTAACAAAATTAATATTTTAAGTCATAAGTCAAGTTTGATATTCGTGTAATTTCTTTTAACGTGTAAAAATATAAATTCATAATTTAAAAACTAAAAATAAAAAATAAAACCTTCATGACCCACCATGTGTAAAACATTGACCCATGAATAAATCATTGAATACTTTATATTTGAGGACATTCTGAATCTTAGTTTAATTGTGTTAATTAAATTCAGTTCTGTTTGAGTAGTTCAAAATTATTGAAACATGATGATCAACGGCCAACGTGCACAACATCTAATTTATTTATTATTTATTATATAAATAGAGCTTTTTTCTCCATGATCATTTTTGCCTGTAATCCTTCTAAATGTGTATGAGAAGCACGTCCATGTTCGTGCCATATTTTGGTTTTATATTAATTTTTATTTTTAAAGTTATAGGAAATTTTTTATTAAACAGTCACCACATTGTATATTTGCTATAATATTATAGCATGTATTATATAATACAAATATTTGTATATATATTATGTGTAACGACCCCGGAAAATATTAAAAAGAAATGAGTATTTAAATATATCGAATGCGGAAGCGAGATCAAAATTTCAGTTAACATCCCTTACACGAAAAAACACTCAAAAAACGTACTTAAAATATAAAAGGTTAAACTAACTAAGAAAGAAAACTCGAAAATAAACTATGCGTATGACTACAGAGTCTCTAGGCAT